ACTCAAATTGATTATTTTCCAATTCTGATATTCTTTCTTCTGCAGAATTAATTCGATTGTTTAGGCTTCCTAAAGTGTTTTTTGTTTTTTTATTTTTTTTATTGCACTTCATTTTATGACATCATTTCATAGGTTCGGAGGTTCCCCCAATCCCTCCCCGAGCCCTCCCTCCATGGTGGATTACTCCACCTTGTTGCATTATTACAGTTCAAATCTAGTCATGCTTCTTTCATTGCAAGGATGTACCATGCGTAGAGTTCAGCATCTTATTGTCCAGATCAATTCAACAGTTTCTTGGGGAGACCATCTCTGGTCTAAAACAGAGCTGGCAGAATATCATGCTTCCTAATGTTTTCTTTAACTCATGTAGTTCGGTTTGGACCTGTTTTTATCAATTTTATCTCTGTGGTGATATATTTTTATAAATTGCTGAGTTCTTGACATAGTTTCTCATTGTCTCTGAAGAGTTTTATGATGTTTTTATATTGCTTCTTCTGAGAGATCTTCAATATCAATCCTGCAGCTCTAAGAGTGGTATGTCCTTTTGTTCATTTTTGAGGGTCGTACTGGTTTCCTCATTTTTTATGCTTCCTCTTTTTCTGTTGCCCTTCATGGCCTTTCAGATCTGTGGGCATTCTCATTACTGTTGGTAGTATATGTGCTCTTATGGGTCTTCAGTCTCTGATGTTTTGCTGAAATTTTCTGGGGTGTATATCTCCGAGGCTACTGAGACACAGTGACACCACTGTGCACCTTCTTGCGGAGGGTTCCTCTTTGACCTCCCTTCTTCAGGATGGATTGGGCAGGTGCACACTGAAAGCCACTGCTGGGGCAAGCAGTGGATTTGGCAGTTGTGCTCAAGACAGTAGTGGCTTTGGGTGGTCAAGGATCCGCACTCTCCTGCTATTTGGCTTCTGGAGTTGACTCTGCCCCACTCAGGGAAAATGTCTCTCCCTCTTGCAAGGTCAGAGTATCCCTCCAGGGCATTCAGGGCATAGGCCCTTCGAGTGTGACAGACTCTGTTCTCACTGCCCGCATCCCTCTCCACACACCAGCTGGTCCACACACCAGCTGGTCCCTCCCCAATGGCTCATTTCTCAATGACATGCCCTCTACAGTCATACTGTCCCAGGTTGAGTATTTCTGGGTTTCTCCTAGTGCTTGTTTTCCTTCATCAGTGTTTTATCCTATGAGTTCCTTTGCCTCCCACTGTCTCCTTGGGGAGGCTTCTGCCTGGAGACTCTTTGTACTGATTTGAAACTCATCAGGTCGTTGTCTGTGGCCTGGGGTGCTTGGTCTATGGTTATCCTTCTGGGCTGCCAGCTGCACTACTGAGCATTTTCAGCAACTCTTCCTCACTTGCATGCCACCAGCCTCGCTGCAGTGGATTCCAGGGAGCCTTGGTCACCTTGCCTGGCAGTTGTCCTCTTCTAGTTTTCCACTCCATTGGATCCTGTTCAAAATCTTTCTACAGTCTCAGCTATACCTTTCTCCCATGGTCAGCAATCTTTTGTTTCTCCTGTATTGTCTTTTTTTCAAGGAAAAGGTTCCCCTCTTTGTATGAGGAGACTGTAAGATTGGGAAAGTCTGAATTATATTACTGTGTAGCTGTGCCTTTTTGTTAACCACATATTCAGATATGAAACGTAGAGGAGGCCATTCAGTACTGTCTCTTAGAGTATGCTAACATTTCCAGCCAGCTGAGTGTATCCACTTTATTTATATAAAATTGCTGACCACCCGAGGAGTATCTTATCTTCATAATTTTCTAATACATGGAACTATATTATATTGTAAGAATCTTTCAAAAGTATATTTCTAGCGTGAATATATTTTTATACATACACATATGCACACACACTCATTCTCACGTACACACAAATGTACAATTTTCAGATATGTATCATTTACTAAACTTTCTTATTTCACATTTTGGAGGTTTTTTTTTTAAAGATTTATTTTATTTTTACTGGAAAGGCAAATATACAGAGAGGAGAGACAAAGAGGAAGATCTTCCGTCTGATGATTCACTCCCCAAGTGAGCACAACGGCCAATGCTATGCTGGTCTGAAGCCAGGAGACTCTTTCGGGTCTCCCACGTAGGTGCAGGGTCCCAAAGCTTTGGGGCCGTCCTCGACTGCTTTCCCGGGCCACAGGCAGGGAGCTGGAAGGGAAGCGGGTCTGCTGGGATAGAACCAGTGCCCATATGGGATCCAGGGCATGCAGGGCGAGGAGGACCTTAACCACTGTGCCACCACGCTGGGCCCTATTTTGGAGTTTTAAAGTAATGTTTGAAATAAGTTTATTTTTGTCAAACAGTTCATTGAGTTAATTTGACTTTTGTATTAGGATTGTATTGCAATTCACCTATTTCTTTGATATTGCCTTTGATGGTTACCTTCTATAAATCAAACAGATAATCAGGATGATCTGAAGGATTGAAAATAGAAACTTTATACATGCTACAGTTTTGCAAAATATAAGTTTTCTGTAGAAAAATTATCATTGGAAATGCAATCCAGTAATCAATAAAAATTTTCAAATTTAGTTTATAATACTATGTCAATGTTAAACATTTAGGGTCTAAAAAACTCCACCACTTGCAAAGCAAGCCTCTGTTATTATGTGTGTGAATACATCATTTATGTATTTATAATGCTTACAAAACTTCGGTTTTCATTTTTGATACCCTGAAAGCAAAGCATAGTGAAAATAAAGGACAGTATTCCTGAAAAACAAAAGTTATTAACAATGGATAAATATATTTAATTGCATACGTATGTAAAATGAAAAATAATTGGGAAGCAATTTTGTTTTTGCCACCCTTGGTATTTTTCAAAGGTAATGCTTTAACAAACATGCACTGACCAGTCATTTGGATTTGCCTGGTTCTTTCAGTCCAACTGTAACTATTTTTATGAAACAAACTTCTTTAACTATAATTGCAGAATCACTAGAATAATTTTTTAGGGACTGTGGATGTTTGTGTGGCCAAGTTATTTTTGGAAAAATTGGTGTATGTTTTACTCACATTAGTTTTATGTGAGATTTTCCATTTGATGGTACTAGTGACTTCTTCCTAGCTACTGAATTCCTCATCACTGAAAAACTAACGAAGCTGGTTCTCTTCGAATCGCTTTGCAGTATGATATAAACTTGTAGCCGGTATTGGGCTGTAACATATCTGATTTCCTTCTGTGGGAGTTAACCTGTTACCCGTTCATGGATTCTGGAGGGATCAGGCAAGATTCATGTCAGAGACAAGTGATTTTTCTTACAGCACAGTAAGCATATTTGCACTGATTCCCCTTGTCTTCCAAGGGGAAGAATTCCAGCTATTGTACAGAGATGATAGTATTGGCTCAGATAGATGCTGAGAACAAAAATGGCAATTTTTCATTCCTTATATTCAGAGCACTCACTTTTTGGTAGCATACATTGAGTGAACCTACTAAGAATCTTTAGGGATACATATTTAATTCTTCACGGTTGCTGACTACAAATACAGCCTTCAAAATTATCGCTCTCCCTTCACCTCGCTGCTTCCAGTTTGGGTCTGGTGCTGTGGCAGTGTAGGCTAAGCTTCAGTCTGTGATGCTGGCTGCTCATGTGCCATGGCTGTTTCAGTTTCATTGTAGTTGCCTGCTCATTGCCTGAGAAAGTAGCAGAGGATTGCTAAAGTTCTTAGGAACCTGCACCAATGTGGGAAACTTGGAAGAAGCTGCTGGCTCCTAGCTTCAGGTCAATTCAGTTCTAGGCATTGTGGCCTTTTAGAGAGTGGCCATCGGAACGAAGACCTCTCCCCACCCTCCCTATAAGTCCTGCTTTCAAATAAAAATAAGAACTTTTTTTAAAAAATGAGAAGTCTTACACAAATACAAATAAAAAGCCCCCCTTCAACAACAGTTGGGGACCAACAAATGATGTGTATGTGGCAGAGACCCATGGACAAGCTCTTATTTCTCTCACCATCATTCAGTAACCCCTGAAGGCATTGGTATGTACAACAAGATAAATGAATTAGTGTTCCAGTGGATGTGAGAATTAATTCAGCATGAAGTAGATTCCTCATGTTCTTTATTTAATATGTTACATATTTTTTGCTAGCAGACACTTTCAAAAATGATTATTGGCTCATGATCTGCCTACGCAGTAACTGTAGAGCCATTTGCAAAAAAAAAAAAAAAAAAAAAAAGGATGGATGGATAGATTAGACAAAATGTATCCATTGAAAATGAATTTATAGTGTTTAGTGTTTTATTTCTTTACATCCCACTCTGGGCTGATGAATATGCATAGCATTTTCTGACAACATTTTACTCTTCTGTATTATACTAGGAAGAGACACAACTTAAGAGACATATCTTTAGGAATAAAATACCCCTTGAGTGATATTTATGCTTTTATGAAAATGAAGAGAATATTTGGCTACGATTAGTTTAATATTTTTTAAGAGGAATTCTTGGAAAGGTATGTAAAAGTCATCAAAAGGAAATGGAAAATATTTGTGTAAATATTCATAAATGTAAATGTACTGCTAATCAGTTATTTTTATGTAGTGTTTCTGACAATATTATCATTAATGATTGGATGAAAGGGCAATAGTATGATATAGTTCACTTATCTTTTTTTTAAAAGTAGGATTACTTCCATTTTTGATTGTTCATTAACATATGACAACCACTTTTAGCTCAAACTCTTATCTTTTAATTATCTACAGTATGTTTAATAAGCCATTCTAGCATTTGGTTTGCCAAGATGGGAATTGCCAATCATAAAACATCCTAATGAAGTGACTTTGAGGATAATATAATAATAGTAAGTGAAGAACCTGATAGCGACAGAATTTGGACTTCAGGCTCTTACCTTCTAGACAATATTTTCCATGCTTACAACGGTTTTTCCTTTCGTATTTGTAGTAGTGCTTATAATCTGGTATGCATTACTAATTTAGAATTTTGAAGGAAGCTTAAAGTCATGCCATCCGATTTTCATTTTAGGTAGTTATTACCAGTAAAAGTGGAGAGATCTTATATCGCATTTCACCATGGGCAAAGTACGTGACTCGTGAAGGTAGTAATGTAAACTACGATTGGATACACTGGGATCCAGAATACCCATTTAAGGTAAGGACAATAATTTCTAAATTCTTGTTACTATCTTTCTAGGAAAAATCATGCTTTATAAAATTTATGTTAGTATTCAATGTTTCTCTTTTGTCTGTTTTAAAATCTTACATAATTGTATACCTCTTATACATCTATCAGAGTAAATATTTTTTAACTATAAAAGCTGAGTTTTTGCTTTATCCCATGTTTTGAGGCTGTGGAAAAAAGTAATATCAAATGTTTATAAACTCATCTCTAAGGAATGCTATTTTTCAACAGCATTAACTGATTTGTCATTCTCCATGATATGTTTCCTACTGGCATGAGTTTAAAGCAGTATGAATGTCTTATATAATGAAATTGAAATGACTGTCTTGTGTTTGTATTTACTAGGATACTTTTTAGTTTGCATTGTTTATAAAAAAATATATCTACCTGAAAGGCAGAGTGAGATACAGAAAGAAAGAATGAGAAAGAAAGATCTTCCATCTACCAATTCACTTCACACATGACCACAGCAGCCGAGTATGGTTCAGACTGAAGTTGAAGCCAGGATCTCCATCCTGGTCTCTAACTTTGATAACAGGACTTAGGGATCCAAGTACTTGGGTCATTACCCGCTGTCTGTAGACTCATTAGCCCCGAGCTGGCTCAGAAGAGTCACCTGGATTCAAGCTAACATTCTGATACTGGCAGCTAGTGGTGCAAGCACTGACTTAAGACAGTACCATATCACTACCGTTTAGCTGATATTTTTGTTAAGAGGTATATTAATTTTGAATCCATTTTTTGTTATTTGAATTATTGAGCCTTGTTATTAAATGCTTTTCATTTGTTTAATCATGCATGCTATACAAAGTTATTTTCTAGAAGGTTTAGAGTTAAACTTTCATATCCAAATGATAAGCTATTAGCCATTATATGATTTTTCTTTTAAAATATGTCCAGTAGCAAAATCCTAAAAAAGATTTCTTTGCCCCAAATGAAACTTTATTGAGTGGAGGAAATGACTTTATATTGAAAGAAATTCCAGCATGTTTAAATTTATTCAACAATTCCTTTAACATGCTTGATCACTTAACATTATATTTGAATTAAATCATATATGTCATTTTACACTCTGTAGTTTAAGCATTCCAGACCAAAGAAGCCAAGAAGTCTAAGGATTTATGAGTCTCATGTGGGAATTTCTTCCCACGAAGGAAAAATAGCTTCTTATAAACATTTTACATGCAATGTACTACCAAGAATCAAAAACCTTGGTAAGTAATAACTGTGATTTTTATTCAGATAAAATTTTAATGAATCTGTTCTCTTATTAGAAAAGCTAATTACAAGTGTCTCTTTTTTTTGTGTTAAGAGATTAAATGTGTAATAGAAATGCATTTTATTTTAGGCTTCTCAAATTACCCTGTAATAGTGATAGCATAGAGAAGAGAAATGGAATAAGATAGAGCAGAGAAATTCAAGATATTATTCCAATTTCAATTTTAAGTAATGCGAACTGGTAGCTTCTAAAATTGTAGATAAATATATGCAAGCATAATTACTTTTCTGCTGGAGAGAACCCTATATCATTACAAATGGTCATTGATTATAGTATGTTCATTTTAGTCTGTTAAGGGAAAACATTTTATATTTGTAAGGCGCCTGGAGCTTATTTTGTGTCAGAGCCATTGTACATAACCCCTTATGGATGGCTTAGTTAATAAACAATTGCAGGACGTCTTCTGTGTGAAGCACGTCGTGGCAGACGTTTCTGTATTTTCTGAAATGATGCAGGTCTTGCCTTGTGGGGAAAACTGTGAGAATGAACAAGGCATAGCTAAATTGTTGATTTAGTATGCCTTAGCTTTATTATGTTTCATTTCATAGATAGTGTGTTTTTGTAATCTCAAAGGATATTCCTACTGGGTAGGAGGATGTAACACAGTTAAACACACTGCTTTGCTGTTAACATTTTGGCTAGAGAAAAGATCTGCAAGTCATGGTTAAAATTTTCAGTTATGTAGGAGTCAGTTTTTTGTGATGGTCAAGTCAGGTTAAGGAAAATAAAATTAAACCTATGCAGGATTTAATATTAATTGTTTATAACAGATATCCAATTATTGTATTTGAGATGCCCATTTACATTATGGAGCAAATGGTTTTTGATCTAGTTCTTGCAGAAAATTCAGCAGTAAAAGGACTCTCTTAATTCTTTGGGTCTGAGTGACCAGTTGAGCACATGGAACATGACTGCTATTTATGGAAGACTGATGCAAAGAAGTCTGTGTTACAAGTACAAACTGGTGCTTGACTATGAAAAGAATATTTGTTACACAGTAGAGAAATTAGCTATAAGCTCTATTTTATAAGATATAATGGATTTACGTTGTTTATGTGGAAATTTTTTTATTTTTATTTATTTTTATTTTTTTTATTGTTGTTAACATTGTATTATGTGATACAGTTTTATAGGCACTGAGGATTCCCCCCACCCCTCCCATACCCCTCCCGCCATGGTGGATTCCTCCACCTTGTTGCATAACCACAGTTCAAGTTCAGTTGAGATTCGTTCCTTGCAAACACATATCTAGCATAAAGTCCAGCATCTTATTGTCCAGATAAGTTCAGTGGCCTCTTGGGGAGACCTTCTCTAGTCTGAAGATAGGGCTAACAGAGTAAAGATCCGGTCAGTTAAAAGCTCCAACAAAACCTCAGTATCAATATACAACATTATGGAATTAATTGACATAGTATTGGGTAAACAATATGTTGAAAATAATGCAAGTTCCATTCTTCGAAACTTCTGGGTTGAGACAGTATCAATGACAGGTTCAAAAAATAACAAACAACCAAACAAAAATTACAAGTTAAATCAAGGCAAACATGTGGTATCTAATCTTTTGGGATTCGCTCATTTCCCTTAGCATTATAGTTTCCAGTTGGGCCCATTTAGCCACAAAGAACTGCATTTTGTTTTTTTTAATAGCTGAGTAGTATTCCATGGAGTAGATGAACCAAAGCTTTCTTATCCAATCTTCTGCTGATGGGCATTTTGGTTGCTTCCATGTTTTTGCAATTACTGATTGTGCTGCAATGAACATAGGGATGCATGTTGGTTTGTCGTAAAACAGGTGTTTTGGATATATTCCTAGGAGTGCAATTGCTGGGTCATATGGTATGCAGATTTTGAGTTGTTTGAGTGTTCTCCAGAAACCTTCAAACTCTTGCAAGAAAATGTAGGAAATACCCTGCTAGACCTAGGAGTAGGTCCCGACTTTCTAAGAAGGACACCAAAAGCAATAGCAGTTGAGAACAGAATAAACAAATGGGACCTCATCAAACTAAGAAGTTTCTGCACAGCAAGGGAAACAATCAACAAAGTAAAAAAGCAACCCACAGAGTGGGAGAAGATCTTTGCACACTATATAGGCGATAGGGGGCTAATTTCCAGGATATACAAAGAACTTCAAAACAACCAAAAAACCAAAACAAACAAGCCACTCAAGAAATGGGCACGGGAAATGGGCAAACATTTCACAAAGGAACAAGTCCAAATGGCAAACAAACATATGAAAAAATGTTCCAGCTCCCTGGCAATAAGGGAAATCCAAATTAAAACATCGATGAGGTACCACCTAACACCAGTTAGATTGGCCCACATAAACAAGAACACCAACGACGCTTGCTGGCGAGGATGCGGGGAAAAGGGAACCCTACTCCACTGCTGGTGGAGCTGCAAATTGGTTTATGTGGAAATTTAAGTACACATTTGTGTCAGGTGTGATAGAGTTATTAGTTTGTACTTTGACCAATAAAGAGGCAATCAAAATCACTTCAGATTAGGTGAGCATTTAGAAGTTTATGCTCTTTTTAAAGTGTATGAATTCCTAGTTATGAATGTAATTTTTGACTTGTTTTAGTATTAATAATCTACTGAATTTTGTACATGAGAAGCTGTTAGATACCAACCAGAAAGAATAACTATGTATTTAAATAAAATGACCCTGAATATGAGCTGACATAAACATTAAGAAAACTTTTGAGGACAGAATCACAGAATTTCCTATGTTATTAGAGAGCATTCTATGTATGAAACTTGCAATGTAATCAAGTCACATTTGAAAATTTAGCCAACTTACACTTCAAAGACCATCTGATTTTTCATTAGTTGTTTTTTTCTGAGTGTTTTATAATACCTAACGTTTGAGTCACTTCATTTAGTGATAGAACAAAGCATATTTGTTCTGAGAAGTCTATTAGTGTGTGTATATACACTTGCAATTTTTCAGTAATTTTGTCGGTACAAAATAGATACATTAATGCTAACTATGTAACTGCCAATGTAACAATTGAGCTTGTTGGTATTTCATATGCTATGGAGTAGAAATTACTAAAACTGTAAAGTATGAATACGGCACATAGTCAGTTACTTTTATTTAGCTTCCAGAATCTTCAGTATGAAAATTAAAGTGAAAATGAACTTTAGCATATGCAGATTGTCATCTTTAATATTCTAAAGCCAAATTAAGAGCAAATTTGCATATCATTTATTGCTTGTTAAAATTAAGACATTTCAAATAGCTAGTCAGAGCCAAATTCTAAGAAACTGTCCACTTTTGTTTTACAAGGTCAGACAAGGAAAAGATGTTAGGGCGATAGAACTTTTTAGGATTGTTAAAGCTTCTAGATTATATGCAAAGTTCAGTGTCTTTTAGAACAAGGGTGCTTTTGTTTGTGACTTTTCCTGAAGCATGACTTTGAATCTCAGTGTGACCTTTGCTCATCTAGGATACAACTGCATTCAGATGATGGCTATCATGGAGCATGCTTATTACGCCAGCTTTGGTTACCAAATCACAAGCTTCTTCGCAGCTTCAAGGTAAAATCAAAGACTTGCTATCCTTTTAATTTGGAGCACAAAAAGAAACAACAAAAAATTTCACACTTCATAATGTTGGTTTGTAACCTGTTTTACAGTGAACAGATTAACACAAGCTAAACATTCATTTTTACTAAAATCTTACATCCTGCCCTGCAGGTTGGCTCTGTTTAAATGTTTCTTTTTTTTTCCCTCCCCTTGGTATGAATTCTGAGAAAGAATATCCTATGAACTGCTGAAATTACCATATGCAAGGATCAGTCAGAGAATCATGTGCTGTGGATGCTGTTACTGCTATACCACATCCTTTTCAAGAAAGAGATTGATTGATACAACAGGGTAACAGGGAGGCCCTTCATAAAACATACTGCAGGAAGACTGGCATTTGCTTAGGCTCATTTCTAAGTAGTGTGATTGTCTATATGGAAGACACCAAGAGATACTATGCATTTGAAGTCCATAAATGACCACCAATTGAACATATCCAACATTTTATCTGTCCCATCCAGTTCATGTTGTGGTGGCCAATAGACATCAGTCCGTGTTCATATATATTGGTGATTTTTATTTTTTAATGAAAGCTCCAAAAAAGTACTGGGATACTAAAGGAGCAGTTATAAACCTGATTGATTTAGGTTCAAATTTATATTGGAATTCATCTCTAAAACGTAATTAAGAGTTCACAGAGTGAAGGAGTTAATTAGATTATATTGTTTAATATAATTAAATTATATATTGTTTAACAATATATGGGTTATATTGTTAAATCTCTCAATTCACTTATCAGTTTTTCAGTTATCTACATCTATTCACTTTAAATTTTCTACTTCTGCTCTGGAACAAGTTCCAAAGAAGGTTTTATCTTAACTAGAGGTGCTTTTGTTAGGGATGCTGATGCGTTTACATTAAATACAATAGCCATTTCTTTGCTCACTTAAACTGTCAGCAATGTTTGGCACACTTGCTTACTCCCACCTCTTCTCTTGGCTTCCTTAATATTATATCCATCCTCCTGTGTTTATTTTCCCCACATTACTGTTGCTCTTCTGTATTTTCTGACTCCTAATTATTCTGACTTCAAAATATTGGCAATCCTAGTGTGCAATATTCAGTTTCATTCTCTTCTGTATTGTCTGAAGTGCCATGGTGATTTATTCAAGTCTCATGCAGGGCCCTGCACGGTACCCTAGGTGCAAAAGTCCTCACTTTGAACACACCAGGATCCCATATGAGCACTGATTCTAATTCCAGTGGCCCTGATTTGCATCCAGCTCCCTGCTTATGGCCTGGGAAAGGAATAAAAGACAGCTCAAAACCTTGGGTCCTGCACCTGCCTGAGAGACCCGGAGGAAGTTCCTGACTCCTGGCTTCAGATATGTGCAGCACCAGCTGTTGCAGCCACTTGGGGAGTGAATCACTGGACAGAAATCTTCCTCTGACTCTCCTCTGCTCTTTATATCTGACTTTCCAATAAAAATAAATTTTAAAAGTCTCATCCTTTGTTTGCTTTATACTCTAATATGCACTCTGTGTTGCCTCCCATATATTTTTTATAGATGTATTTTTTATTGGAAAGGCAGATATACAGAGAGTACAGAGGGGAGGACAGACAGAGAGGAAGATCTTCCATCTGATGGTTAACTCCCCAAGTGACTACAGTGGCTGGTGCTGAGCCAGTCCAAAGCCAGGAACCAGGAACTCTTCCAGGTATCCCATGCCAGTGCTGGGTCCCAAAGCTATGGGCCATGCTCGACTGCTTTCCCAGACCACAAGCAGGGAGCTGGATGGGATTTGTGATCTCCGGGATTAGAACCAGTGCCCATATGGGATCCTGGGCGTGCAAGACAAGGTCTTGAACCACTAAGATATAGCATTGGGCCCGCCTACTATATTTTTCTCCATTCCTAACCTCTTTTATACATTTTGGACAGATCCTATTTGACAAAAAAACATATCGTACTTTTCTTAAACTTAATGTGTATGATATTAAATTTCTGATGGTGTCTGCTAACCTCATCCTCTTAATATTATCTGTATTTAAATAAATGGCATTGCGGTTATGATCTTATAATTGTTTAAGCCAAAAATTATATTGTTATATGTGCCTCTTCCCTTTCTGTACTTCCATGTACCCCGGTCTTCTAAGTGTTATTGTCAGACTGCTTCAGGTGCCTGTACTACTGCTACTCTGGTCCTTGTTGATGGTCTCTAAAAGAGATTATTTTAATAGTTGTTCAGCCTTTCATCCCCTTTTCTACCGTCTCCTTTCTTACTTAACGTGGTCTGCTTTCTGTGCAGTGACCAGAGACATCACTAAAAATGTCATTCTGGTCAGGTCACTTGTCTGCCTGGAACTAATGGTTGTCTCTATTAGAATAAATCCAAAACTTATCGTGAACTTCTTAGACCATCTTTGAGTTGAGTCTTGGATGATGATTTGGGCTTATCTTGATCATGTGTCATTCTACATCAGCTATACTAGGCATTTTGCTTTGTTTCAAATGCTCCTAGCTCAATTTCTGTTCTATACTCTTTCAACTTCCTTTCCTTATTCTCTGAATATTTATGTCCTTAGCTAGTATTGGTCAATTGCCTCTTCTGTTAAACTTGCATCTATGACCTTATTGAAAAGAACTAAGTTGTGTTTCATACCTATTACTTTTCTTCATTTTTCTCTAGAAGATTCATTTTTATCCACATATTTTGCTTCATTGTCCCTAAAGCAGAATGTAAATTCCTCTGAATAGTGATGTTTGTTATGTCCTCAACAGTATCTCCAGAGTACAGAAATTTTTAGGGCTAGTGGGTGAGTCATGGGTATTTTTCCAAGTAATAATGTAGGGAATTGAAGGGAAGGCAGTTAAAGGATATTCATTTGATGAATACACACTTGAATGAGTGGAAGAAAATATGACTGAGTTAAATAAAGAATAAGAAAAAGGTTATATTTCAATGTAACATTATTAGAGGAATGTAAGTTTAGTCAGTGCCAACAGGTATGATAAAGTGAGCGGTCTTCAGAGGGCATTGGTATAATTTCAAATGGAGGATGATTTGATTTTATTTACATTTAAAAGATGGTGTTTAATAGAAGACAGAAAAAAATAAAAAAAGATTGCACTTACTACTTGGTAGTGTTGGGTGCCAAATTTGCTATGTGTCAAACAAAGTATGGTCCCATGGGACACCAGACATTCATAGCCCTTGCTGCAAAGAAAACATGTTTCAGTAAGGCAGACCAGTGATAGACAATTAGAAAGCTACCGGGATTACTTAAAGCCCAAAGTTACAAGAAGGAAGGTCTCCTTCTGGAGTGATTTCCCCCCGCCCCCGTTTCATGAAGAATAAGAGACTACTTTTAAAAGAAACACAAACATACGTGTGAATTATCACTTTTTTCTGTTTAGTTGATCACAAACGTATTACATCACGTTTTCTTGGCCTACTTCCTAATTCCTGAGTATTCTAATTTGAGAATCAAGGTTAAAGGCAAGATCTCAACCAAGACACCAACGTCATAGAAAGAAATACTCTAAGAGCTCCTTAGCCCCAACAATGGGAAACCTGTGAGCAGCAGTGTCCAAGGCTAGAAGTTCCTTAATAATCAAATAGTAAGCAAGTAAATATATCATGCAAATATGGATTTGAAGAGCTGGAGAGTTCAAAAAGCTCATGGACAATGCATACCAGCAAAAATCTATGTACAGTGGTAAAAATTGTTTTCATCCGTATAAACTTATTTTTAATTTTATTTTTTTCCATAGGGAAAAGCAATGACTACACAGTTGGCTTTATTGTTATGGATTCCTTTGTTATGTTCTTTTTTCATAGCCGTTATGGAACGCCTGAGGAGTTAAAAGAACTTGTTGATACAGCTCATTCAATGGGGATAATAGTCCTCCTCGATGTGGTACATAGCCATGCTTCAAAGAATTCAGAAGATGGACTAAATATGTTTGATGGAACTGATTCCTGTTACTTTCATTCTGGACCGAGAGGGACTCACAGTCTTTGGGATAGTAAATTGTTTGCCTATTCCAGGTAAGTACATAAAATGCAAATAGGTTTTCTTAGTTTAAAATTATTTTCATTCAACTTCACTAAACTCATTGTGTGTACTCTCTTTCCAGATCTTTTCATGCTCTTTTAAAAATATGTGTGAGGAATTTCACCTTGTCTTTTTCTGTCATATGTATTTATAGTGTGTTGCATTAAATTTTGCTTTTATAAATAATGAGCGATTTATACTAGGTTGTTTTTTATTACCATTTTAAAGTTTTCCTATGGATTATTTCAGTGTCAAAATAATTACTTTCTCAGGTTTATTTAAAAATTTAAAAATCACCTTTTAGTAGAAACTTACACAGTTTTAAAAATAATACCATAATTTGATATATCAATATTAGTACCATGTTTTTAAACATTTGTTACTAATTTTAGAGGCAAATTCAGAGAGAGAAAATAAAACCCGGGGTAGAGGATGGGAAGAAGGAGAGAGAGAGTAAAAGAAAGATCATTCACCTGCTGCTTCACTACCCCAAAAGCTTACAGCAACCAGGGCTAGTCCTCCTACAGACAGGAATCTGACTCCTTGTCAGTCTTCAAACTGAGCCTCATCATTCTACGAAGACACTTTGTGTCGCCTTTATACATGCTGTGCTTTAAAACTTATTTGTTTATTTGTATATATTTGAATGGTGAACAAAGGGCCAGAGAAATAGAATGGCTGTACTCAGCAGGATTGGCTAGGATGAGCCAGGAGTCTGGAATTGAATGCAGAGCTCCCATTGAAATGGTGATAACCCTAGAACTTGAGCTCTCAGCTGTTTCCAACCAGATGTACATCAACATGAAGATGGATAAAAAGTAGAGTGGCCTTGATCTGAACCACATACTTAAGTTTGAAATGTGTAAGTAAATATCATAAGTCATGCCTAATGCGTACTACTGGTTCAATCCCCCGATGCCCACCAGTGGCAGGGCTAGGGCAGTCTAAAGTGAGGCCTGCAAAAGCAGAGCAGCCAGGGCACAAACTAGTGCCCTGTGGGGTGCTGGTGCTGCAGAGCAGGGTTCACTAGCTGTGCCACAATGCCAGCCCATATGTCTGTCATTTAATGTTTTAGATTTTATAGCAATTAAAAAGGACTGTGATATAAATTCATTGAATAGATTATTGAGTAAACCTTATAAAAATTAAAATTATACAAATTATAACCAGATTCTGTGGTTCAGATTTGGCTATGTAAAGTTTAACTCAAATAATTATGACTTATGAAAAAAGCCTTATTTCATGTTAAATTTGTTTGCTTTATAAAATTGACATATTAAATAGCTATTTTGTGTATGGAAATAATTCTTCTGCAGAACTACGGAAATTCAGTAAGTGGACAGTGTTTATGTTATAAAATGATTCTTTCATTAAAATATTTGATATACTGTATTTCTGTTTCCTGGAGCACTAAAGTGCATTTAAATTGCTCCAATGTTATATAAAATGAGATTATGCATAACTGCTTTCAAAAACATTTCTATTGCAGATTGAGACAAACTTAAAAATGTTTCTTTTTTATTGACTTAATTATCGAGCCTTCTCAGGAATGTTCTTTGGTAAATAATATGTAGTGTGACTGCAACTTATTTTTGTCACCATTTTGAGAATGTTTTTATATGTTATACTGTCAGTCCTTTGTAAATATTGTTCCAGTAATATGTATTTCATTTATCCTACACGTTTGCTATTTCTTAGCTAAAATCTTTCTGGTTATATAAAATTCAGTATTTTCTACAGAATAGTAGTAATTTCCACATAATTTTATATAATTGTGGCATGATTGTACAATATAAATTCTAATAAGCTAAGATATATAATTAAAAATTATATAAATATATATAAATTAAAGATATATAAATTAAATTATAAATACATTATAAATTAATTAAAATATATACATTGAAGAATTCAATAATGATATATACTATATTTATCTATATCATATATGTATATATGTGCACACACACATATATATATATATATCACTGGACTCTTACTGTTTAACTCTTAGATTAATACCCCAATACCTAGTTCAATCCATTACATAATTTTTGATGAAAATTTTCAGATTTGCTCCCTTATATTTACCTCCTATTTCTATTATTTATGCACATATAATTTGATCTTTCTTAATTGGGACGCTACAGTTTTCTGCATTCATGATTAAAGAACTACCTTCCTGTTCTGGTTATTTGCTATTGCTGATCAAACCAGGCCAATATTCAGTGATTTGCAGCAACAGCAATCATATGATGTACTTAAACATGTGAGATTTGGGCAAATGTTGGGAGGAACACTTGCTTTTTTGTGTGTGTGTTATTCAGCTAGAATGGCTCAATGAGATTCCAGAACATCCACTTTCTGGAAAGTTCACCTGACTACCAGTTCTGCCTGGATGTCAGCTAGGCGTTCGGTGATTGCTACCCCAAGGGGAACAGCAGAACATGAGGGACTTTTTACTGGTGTGTGGGTCCATACTCTGGATGTATGGGCTGCCATTTTCTGTATTCTGTGTCTGGACACTGGTGCTGTGTCTCTCTGACATACACTACAGTCAGTCACAGTCACAGATTCAAGGGACAAAAGATACAGATTTAAGCATTCAGTTGGAAGAGCATTAAAGTAGTTTAAGGCTGTGCTTTAAAATTTGTTTAAAAAATTTTTTTAACCACATTTGTTGCTTTACTTGATAAATTTACATAAAAATTTATACTGCATCCAAGATAAAATTTCTTGGATTTATAGATGTAAATGGTACACTTCATTTATCTAAATGTGAGTGCATCTATTAAGTACTGTGTATGTGCATCATTCCACAAATGCGTAAAAATTCGGGAGGGTATTTGGCAGTTACACTGCCACTTGTAGTACCCACAGTACATGTGAATGGCAGGGCTGGAGTTGAAGTTGTGCTTCTAAAACCTGTTCCCTCTTAATACACACCGTTGGAGTCAGCAGACAGTGGCCTTAGTAGTTGAGGTTTTGCTGCCATGTGGGAGAGCTAGATTGAATCCATGACTTGGATTTGGCCTGCTCTAAGCTGACTATTCAGGGCATGTAGAAAATTATTGGGTGGATACAGACATTGCTCTATTTTCTGGCTCCTTCTTTTAAATAAATGTACATACAAGTCCAAATCTTCATTTTCATCTTCTCCATATGATACTCATTCTGTTTGTAATTTTGAGTTTCTTCTTAAGCAGATGGGATCAGTAACTACACTTTGTAACATATTTTAAATATAAATTTTTTCTTACATCTTACCTTCAATAAACTGATTAGTGTTATAATCTGCTGGTAAATAGACATCAAAGCGGTACATGGTTTGCTTAAGATCTAAGCGTCCTCCTTAAAATGCTTTGCAGTGAATTTTGAAATTTTTTTTTATTCATTTGTTTGCAAAATGCTGTTTTGTAGAACTGCTTCTGTAGATATATGTTGTTCATATTCATCCTGTCTATCATGTTACAGCTTGTCACCATTTATAATCCCTGATTCAAGTGCCATCATCAAAATTATCAGAATTAAATCTCTCACTTTGAGTAGTGCTCTGGATCCTGACTGTGCTATTTCATTACCTGCTATGAATAAATTTCCAATCAGGAGCTGCCCATGTTTTAATTTTCTGTCTACTCAGCTGAACTGCCTTCTAACTCTGCTAAATTACTAATGACAGTTCATAACAGAGATTGGGTTGTCCTTAACTTCACTTGGTAAAGAGCACCTTCTGACAAATATGTCACCCTTAAGTTTTAGGAGTTTCTTGAGGGAGAAGTAATGGATAAAATCTAGTCCCAGTTGTAAATTCTGTTTGCATATTCTTCCTGTGCTATATAAATTGCATGATAAAAAAGGCAAGTATAGATTTGTTGAAGTTAAGTAGCTATTATGCTGCATCAAATGCTACCGTTTCTTACTTGAGTATTTGTTTCAATGGTTAGATATTAATATCAAAGGAACTACAGAAGAGCTAATATTCATTTCAGTGTATGTTCACAATGGAGAAACTATTAATGTAAATATATTTTACTTTTATTTTGAGTTACTAAAATTCTTTCCACAAAGTAATTCTAATTGTCTTCTTCGGGATTATAACTACTTGTAATAAAATTTCCTTTGGTATAGACAGATGATGTTCAATGCCTTAGAATGTGTAGTGAAGTTCATGGGAGTCTTCCTTTTTTCAGTGTATATTGAGATCTGAAGATATACAATATGTTAATATGTACACATGCACTAGTTCATTCATATGACATCTCGCATTTATAGATTTTGATTGTTAATTCAATCTTGAATTCATATTACAAACCCTATGACTATAGATGCAAGTGTTCTAAAAGAAGTTTTAGCTTGTAAGTATAATATGTCATTATCAACTCAGTTCTTTTTCATTATTTATTTATTTGAACTCTGTTACTGAGAGAAAAGAGAGACACAGATCTTCCATTTGGTGGCTTACTCTCCAAATGATGAGAATACTCGGAGGTGGGCCAGGTTGAAGTCAGGAGCCAGGATCTTCATCTAGGTCTCCAACCTGGGTGGCTTGGCCATCTGCTGCTGCTTTCTCAGGTTCATTAGTGGGCAGCTGGATCAGAAGTGAAGCAGCTGGGACTTGAATTTATTGTCTGTGTTGGGTGCTAGCATTGCAGGACAACACTCAATGCCACAATACCAGTTCCATCCAAGCGAATTCTTAAAATGGTAATACTGAATTTAAAATCAGTGCATCTTGAAAAAAAAGACTATGAATATATATGACACCATCATGATTAGCAAGAGAGTTAAAAACTATGGGTTAAGGGCCCAGCGCGGTGGCGCAAATGGTTAAAGGTCCTCACCTTGCACGCCCGGGATCCCATATGGGCGCCGGTTCTAATCCCGGCAGCCCCGCTTCCCTTCCAGCTCCCTGCCTGTGGCCCGGGAAAGCAGTCGAGGACGGCCCAAAGCTTTGGGAACCTGCACCCGCGTGGGAGACCCCGGAAGAGGCTCC